TCGACCAAGGCCGGGCAGATCTGAGCACAGCCTGTCCATGGCAGTGTGACAGCGAAGTAAAACATCTGTCCTTACAGGAAAAACAGAGCTTGTCTGACTGTTCTAAAAGCCATTTTACAAGGCTGTGATTTTAGAGTTGAAGCCAATTACCAGGTCTTGTTTTATAAAGTCTTTTCTTCTTCCTTCCTTCCTTCCTTTCTCTCTCTCTCTCCCTCCATTCCTCTTTCCTTCCCTTCCTTCCTTCTTTTCTTCCTTCCCTTCCTTCCTTTCTTCCCTCTACCTATTATTCTCTCACTACATTCATTCATGGAGTCACTCATTCATCAAGTGTTTTCAATGCCGCAGCCACTGTGCTAAAAGCTGGGGAAAACTGGTGAACAAGCTTTATGACTTCAAACAGCTGATAATATCAACAGCAAAGACAGGCAAAAACGATTCAGAGCACTAAATGTTGAAGCAGAGTATTTTCAGGGTGCAATGAGAGTGGACAGGAGGGCTGCCTGACTCAGTCATTCGAGGGGAGGTATGATCAGCAAGTGCTTCTGAAAAGATACAACATCTTATCTGAGACCTGAAGGATGTGCAAAGGTCACTAAAAAAGGACCCCAACAAGGAAAGGAAGAGGGCAGTCTTACTGTGATACAGAGGTACTAGGGAGGAAGGAGAGTATTCTGGGTAAAGATAAGAAAAGGTAAAAAAAAAGAACACTTGTTAAGTCCTGGGAGATTTACTCCTTAAAGCTAAGAGATGTATAACCCACATACTCACAATTCATATTTGATCAAAAGCCCTATAAGTAAGCTATAAGTAAATTCATTAGCTTACTTATAGGGCTTTTGATAATCTATAAATTTATAGATAATAATACTCTAAGTTTCTTAGGATAGTAATTTTCAAAAGAATTAAAAAGTCAATTTTTTTAACTTAGCCTCAGGAGCATAATAATTCAAAAGTGAGTAAAACTGAGCAGTGAAGAGCTAAATAACTAGCCCAAAGTTGGCAGGTGGTCTTAAAAGCCCAACATTGTGATACACAGTCTTTGCTGAAGCGCTGGTCATCATCTGAACTCTCCATCAAGAGTTCACTGTACCAAAGAGAAGTAACATTTGTGGAAGGCCTAAAATATGCTAGGCACTGCATTGAATCCCTCACTTAACCTCATTTAAACTATGACCCTGATTCAGCAGTCTGACATATAATACCCATTTTGCAGATGAACTAAATGGAGCCCACAGATTTGATGTCAATTTCCCAGAGTCCCAGGTGGTCTTGTTTACAACATGGTTTTCTGAAGGGAGCACTTTTCTCTTCTTCAATTATTTTGTGCTATATCTGAAAGTCCAGGCTCTACCCCTGTGGTACCATGAATAAACATTAACTCTCCTTCCCCAGTATAGTCAACAGGCCTCTCAACACACAAAGGGGACCACTGACACGCCCCATCTTCATCAAGACTTTCCCTCAACCACATGCCAGAAGGTCTGACTGTCAACCAACTAGACCAAGAATTTCATTTTAAGAAGAGAGTGGGGTAGTCACCCTCTAGAGAATTCTACTAGTACTTTGATGCCAACTATGAAGAAAGAGGCTGGTCAAGCCAAAAATAAAATAAAAGAATTCACCTTGGACGCATGTCAACACGGGAGGAGGTAGAATATAACCATTCAGAGCATGTATTCCTGAGGTCAGGCTTCTGGGCTTCAAATCCCAGTCTTATTACTTAGTAACTACATGAACTTGGATGAATTAACTTAGCTAAGCCTAAAGCTTCCTTATCTTTAAGTGAGGATAAAAATTTAATTACAACACCAGAGAGTTATGGAAAAGGTTAAATGAGGTCCCCCATATAAAAATACTCAATAGAGTGCTTGGTCCATACCTTAACGAACAATGAGATGTATTACTTCTATTATCATTTGTATTAGGGCCGCTGTAGCAGGTAATCATAGAGGCTGCCCCTCACATTGTAGCCTACGGGAATGGCACCTTTGGGCTTGTACAGTGTACAGCCTGTGTGACTGTATACAACATTCCTGATATCATGCTATTGTGCACAGGTGGAACTCATGCTTCTCAAGGTGGACACCTGGATTATTTTCTCATGAAGAGGAAGGTGCCATTTGCTATATGCCTGGCATGAAACACATCTTGCCAACAAACACTGGGTTTTTAATAGTGTCGAAGAGGAGAGCAAAATGAAAAAATGCACATGTAGAAAGTAAACAACAGCTCTGAGTTAGCTGTAAAGAACAGCTAAGAAGAAGAGAACTTCCCATAATGGGATGGGATGGGGGTGGCAAGTGTCCAGCATCTGATTCACTGGGATCTAAGGCTGTGCCCTGATATCTCACTGACATCAGGTCAAGGTGTCAGTTGATGAGGAGCAGGAAGTTAAGACGTGTTTGCACAAAGCACATATGAGGTAAAATGGAAGTGGAGTGAGTGGGTGCAGAGGAGGAGAGAACCGGAATGAAGATACAGGTTGATCGAGGGGTGCATGAAGGGGGTGGACTATCAAGTGACCACCCAGTTGACTGTTTAACAAGGACACTTTAGACCATGGAAGTAGGGGCAATTAACAATTAACACCAGGGCTGCCCCAGGTAAACAGGATTCCTGGCATGGTTTATGAAGGTGGTTGCCCAATTGCTCACAGCATTCCCTTGAAGCCCTGTGACCAAGGGGATGTTTGGAAAGGACCACCAGCATGCCCTGCTAATGAGGAACTATGACTTTTGATAGAGCTTCTTCCTCCACCATCTAGCAGCCCTGAGTCTCACTCTGGCCAACTTAGTGTCATGTTAGGGCCTCCAACCCGCCTCACCAACCAGGTCCACTAGTCTCCAACTTTTTACTTTGGGTTCAGGATGATGGGAAAGTATGTTGGCAGAAGGGTAACTATCAGAGTCTGCTTTTCTCATTGCTTCCATCTGACCAACTTCTAAATTTAGCCACAGGCCAGGCTTTCTTCGCAGATCTTCTGTTCTTACATGGCACTTGAAAGCAATATTTGAGGAAGGATTTAGAAAGATCGATCTGCATGGCACATGCAAAGATATAAATTTCTAGGCACATTTTGGATGATCAGAGAAGAGGATCTCCTCAGTGCGTATCTGGCAAGATTTCTAGTCTGTGGGAGTCAGAAAGAAGTGTCAATGGAGCATGCATTTTCCCAACTGACTCCAGTGTTTTCAAAAGTTGGCTAAAGCGTCAGCTGTCAGCTTAGATTCATTTCTGAACACTCTTACTCTGCTCCTTGGAGCAGTCACACAGGGTTGAGTTTGGCAGGACATGAAGACAGAGAGGGAGAGAGCAGGCAGTGGTAGGTCTGAAGCAAGAATTAGGAGAATTGAGTGGTGACTCACAGGCAGAGACGAAGAAATCTTTTCTCCCTTCTGTATCTCACCCTGTCAATCCCCAAGCCACTCGATTATTTAAAATTTTCTCAGAGGGACTTTGCATAGTTACCATTATTACCATTTTACAGATGGCAAACTCACAGCTAAGAAAATTAGGCATCCTTGTCCTAAGTCAAGCATCTGAAGTGTGGCAGGGCCAGGATATGAACCAAGTCTGACGAATTCTGCAGCCTCTGGGGTTCCCAGCAACTTGTGTGGCTCAAGTACAATTAATTTGAAATATAACTGCTCTAGCCATTCCTCTCTTCCACTGTCTGGTAGAAGTTAAAAAAAAGAAAGAAAATAAGTCAAAAAACCCTAGAGTTTCCTTTGAAAAGGAAAATGAGAATTTTTTTTTTTAAAGTAGAAAGAGAGGGTGAGACTCCTAAAGAAAAGAGATGGCTGAAAACAATGGAAGTAATCAATCAGGAAGGTGAGAGAGAGGGAAGAACAGAGCTGGAAGGCTGAATCCCCATAAGGATGAAGAATGCAGTTATAGGAAAACAAATCCCATTTAAAATGGAATAAAAAAGAATAAAACACCTAGGAATAAATTTAACCAAGGAGGTGAAAGAGCTGTACATTGAAAACTACAAGACATTGATAAAAGACACTGAAGAAGGCAGAAATACATGGAAAGATTCTGTGCTTACAGGCTAGAGGAATTAATATGGTTAAAAGGTTCATAATATCCAAAGCACTGCACGCAAAAGAATAAAACTGGACCTCAATCTTACACCATAACAAAAATAAACATGTGATGAATATAAAGCACTCACCAGAGTGCCAGGCACTGTCTCTCCTGTCCTGAAAAACTGTTCCTGGTGGGAAATTCCTGTCTCAATCTTCCTGTCTCTGAACATTTTACACCTTGTACTTTCTGTTTCATTCCAATGTCAGTAGATAAAGTATTGCTTTTTTAAATATCTTTTCCTCCCTTTTCTACAACTGAATCTTCTCCACTGGAAACAGAGGATCCTCCCTATAAAAGTCCTATCCTGGCGAGAGCCAGGCCATTCCTCAGGGACACTTAGTGTTTTCTTTAACTAGACATTAACTTGGAGAAAAACAAATTGGTCTATTTCTGCATCAACGGAGCAGTTCTTCAGAGGCACTCGGTTTTTTAAATGTTGAAAATCCTTCACTAATTAATCCGGGTTTCAAATGAAATGCCTGCCTTCCAACTGATGGCCGAAGCCGTGGAAGAAAAAAAAAAATTCCAGAGGAGATCCTACTTAGGGTCTGTCCAGTGGCTGTTTGAACTCATGCAAACGACCATGTCGGAATACACACATTCAAAAATATTTCTTCCATCTCCCCCTCCTTCTGGGAAAGTTATCTTCATGCATTTGGCCCACGGCCTGTTCAACTTTTTCTGGAGGCAGCCAGATTTGCAACATCAAGAACACAAGCGTCGGAACGGCAGAAAAAGGAGGAGTTCCCCACCCTGGCTGGAACGAACTCCTGGCCCTCTGACAGTGACCTTGTGGGAAAACGCCAGCCTGGTCACGGCGCTGGAGGGCTTCACGGGGGAACGGATGTGATGATAGCGAGGGGGCTGAGCGAGCGGCTGGCAGGTGCCCGCTCCCTGGCTCTACTTACTTCTTGCCATTCCTCTGCCCTCCACGCGTAGAGCGGACACGGCGGGGCTTGGCAGGCGCGCTCCGACTCCGGTCGAGTGTAGGGGTTGCATTCGGTCTCTCTGGCTATTTTGTGCGTTCCCATCTGACAGCCCACATTTCTCCGCCGCACGCCTTGGCCACAGGACACGGAGCACTACAAGGACAAGAGGATGTAAGTGGGAGCTTTGGGTCGTTGGTGGGAGGGGACGATCATCAGGGTAGAGAGGGTCATGGACCTGGGGATGGCATTCCTAATCCAATGAGCTTCACAGCCATCACGGGGTTTTCTAATTTCCAGTGAAAGGGACCCAGGAAATGTCTAAAATCCACAGCCTCACTGCCTATCAAAGCCAGCTGAGTGAGGAAGAGACTCAAGTTTGGGGGTAATTTCTCAAGTTAACAAAACTCTTGGACAATGGAAGAGGCTGGGAGACATCATTAAGAGACATTCAGTACATCCTAGAGTACTGCTGCCATGGGAAATGAAAGTCCCAAGTGATTTCTATCCCGGAAGGTTGGAGGGCCTTGAAAACTGGAGAGACAGTTGCACACAAGAGAATTTCTTGGCAGATAAAAATTATAACTCAAGGAGAGAAAATCACTGAAGATTTTATGACCTTATAAGTAGAATTATTTTCTCCAATCTCTTCTTCTTCTTGCTCCTATTCCTGGAGATAGGGGAATTTGGATGAATGTACAAAAAATAAAAGCTGACAGAGAAAAACTATTTCCTTGGGTGTTGTGTTTCCAGCCCGTGAAAAATACTGTTAATCAGGCTGAAACATTTTGTTGACCAAGCTGCAAAACACCCTATTAATCTGCAATTAACTTTTCTCTAAATTAATTTTTTAGTGGTTTCCTCGTTACTGGGTTTCATAATCTCACTCATGGGCAGGCCAAGAATTATTATCTTTATTAAGCTTTTGACAGTGAGAACCTAAAGGCAACATTTGACTGAAAAGAAATGCCTATTTTTTCACTTAGCTATTAAAAATTGTTTCCAAGTTTGTGTGATAGCTGAGCCTCCATTCATTTGTCTGATTGAGAAAACAAGCTTAACATACATTAAAGCCATATTCCTAAGAGGAAGTCTTCATACAGAATAGAATCAAGCTTTTAAATTAGACAAAAATTCCTGTCCAACCATCCTGCAGCGGGATTCATCTTACTTTGAGGCTAATGGGAATTTACTATCAAGAAGCACACCCTAATGAATTCTGGTGCATATTAGTATTATTTCCATTTCAGATTCTAAAAAAACAGGTGATAATATTTAGAAGGCAGCTTGGGAAATCATATCATTTCAGATAAGTCTGCCAGGCAAGGAGCTTAAATGTTCACATCAAAGCTAGCTGAAGAGAAGGAAATATTTTAGAGCAACATGGCTACTATTGTTTGGGTTTAATTGTATTAATTGGATTGAATGAGTTTTTGACCCACAAGAAACCAGACATTTAAAGTCATTGTGCTCTGGGTGGAATGAGAGGGTGCCTGAGCACAAGTGACTGCCTCGTCTACAGAAGATGACCATTTAATACTTTGGGGAGCTATGTGTATATTTCCCATTGATTCCACATTAAATGAATGAACTATGACATGGGAGAATTAGCATAGGAATGACAGAAATTGTCAACCATGGACAGCAAACAACAACCAAAACACTCGTGAGTATTTGAATTTGGGGCCTTAAACATAAAACAGAACAATTCCAGAACAATGTATGCAAGTAGAAACACAAGGAAAAAAATAAGAACAATTAAGTAAACAAGTCTGAGTTTGCATAGAGCTGATATATATATTCAAAATCTCATCATGCTTTAACAAAGTAAAGAAAAAGGAAAATACATTAAAGGTTTTCCAGGTGTATACTATTCAGGTTCTAAGTAAATGGAATTTCTTTTTGATGCCACTGTTTGTTACTAAATTATAACTTATGGCTCAGCAAAGGTAAGGTATTATCAGCCATAAGCATCCAATATTTAAGAAATAATTTCTACAATGTTCAGTATTTTTTTCCAAGGGGCAAATAAAGACAGAGGAAGTTTCAATTAAACAATAATGTCATTGTGGCTTTTGATTTTCATATTATCAAAGCTAGCCCTGACTTAACATATTCAAAGGTTTTTACAAGGCTTATATGCACAGCAAGGTATAATAAGCCTTGCCTCTGTCAATACTGAATCCATGGTAATCTTGGTTCAAAATGAAGTGTACTGCATCCGAGTTAGTTCTCTGTGTTGAACTTTTCTTCCTGTGCTGTCTCAGGGGAGGCAACATTTAGCATACAGAGCCAGGCAGACTTGCTTGGTAAATTCTGAGAGATTTGTGCAGAAACCCCATGAATAAAACAGCATCAGAAAGACCTCTGTGTGACCCTGGAAGTGCTGATGGAGGTGGTGTGTGCACATGTGCATGCTTACTTCTTGTTCTATGTAGTCCAATTTTTAGTTACTCTGCAGAAGAAAAAGGTTGAGCAGCGTAACATGTGCCGTCCCCCTGCAACTATCATTCCTGCACGGCAGTCTATCTGCACAGGTTTGAAAGCAGATGTTTTTAGTTCCAAACTACTAAGCTAGGAGCTGTGTTTCATCTCTCTGGACTCCCTACTGTGCAATGTTAGTATGCAGAACTCACTGATTTAAAGGGGAGAGTTAATGCTTCTTTCTATAGATAAAAAGAATCTCTATGGAACTTGTGATGCTTACAGAACTGTAATACACACTTGAAAGCCTGGAAAGAATTTTACATACTTTCTATCAGTATGACTGCTACAACCATGGCCATGACAGGATTCAAAGGAGGGATTAGCTTGAAAAATAACGAACTTCAATAACTAACTAAAGTATGAACTTTAATAAATAACAACCGGTAACAATAATAGCAAACTTAGTGAGCACTTACTAGGCCAGGCTCTATTCTAGGGTTTCTCAACCAAAGAAATCGTTTTTGTTGGGGGCTGTCCTGTGCACTGGAGGAAGTTCAGGGCATCCCTGGACTCTATCCCACCACATGTCAGTTGCATTCCCTCTCCTCTGCCAAACTGAGACAACCAAAACTGCCTCCACACACCTCCAAACATCCCAAGAGTTACAAAATCACTGCCAGTGGAGACTTTAGTTCTATACTAAGCATCTTGCATAAAATATCTTTCATACTTCCCAGTAATCTTTTACATAGATACTCCACACATAAAAAAAGCAAAGAATAATCACCCTAACTCAAGCAAAAACTAAAACAAAATGTAATTCAAATAAGTTCTATCCTAGGCAATAAACCAAAGCTACTGTGGACTAGGATTTGGCTTCCAGTTTTAAAATATGAGTATTATGCGGCTTTCCGTACTACATCAGCAAGAGTGTGGGTGAAAGGACTGTATTCAAACAATTCAACATCAATGTTTGCAGTTCAAATACAAGTCACAGAGAGCACAAATCACTAAGGCAACTCTAGTTCTCATCATTGACCATGTGTATAGGGTTTCTAAGATTTCTCAAAGGACAGACATTGTACATCTGCCATGTTTCTCCATTAAACACCTCAGAATCAGACACCATGACCAAGCCACTCTCATGGTAATTACAAAAAATCCCCACCAAAAATGGCTGGTAGGTACATAATGCAATTTGCCGGTTTCCATTTTGGCATGAGCACTGAAGAACTTTAAAAAAAAAGCAAGTGTTTCCCTGACTTCAAGACACAGTACTACATTTTGTATCACTGAGAAAGAAAAAGGAGCAATTAATCATGACCTTCTATTAGATGTAAGGACCATCCTGAGCACAGAAATATTCAAGTATGGAAAAGAAACTGATATCTCAGGGCTGAATGAATTCATGACAGATGAATGATGGTAAAGTGTTACTTTCATTCTAATCTGATCATTTTTATTGTTTATTCTTAATCTTCTTTTGTTTAGAAAACTTTTCTGTAGGAATAGGATACATTAACAATTTTTACTCTGGAAGGCTACTTGTGTCTACTCATGGAACTATAGAGCCTTCACATTTATAAAGTTGAATCAAGAATCAGATGCTGATTTTGTCTGAAAATTTCATCCCTCAGCTCTTGATCAAAATCATCTAAACAAACTGAACATGAATTTTTGAAAAAAAAATGCTTTCAAACTTGAGTTATGTTTTTGAATTAAAGTTCTTCTTTTACTGGAAAAATTTCATTGACACATTCAAGATGTTCAAAAGATGTAAACGTAAAACATTTCACTTTAAACCTCAAAACACTAATTCTGAGGAAGAGACAAAGAAGATTAGCATGGCTATACTAATTTCCTATCCCAATATTCTATATGCCTTATTATTGTTAGACATTTTGACATAATGAGAAATTACAATAATTACTTCCCCTACCTTGAAGATGAGATGACTAAAATACAGCCACCAGCAGAAAACACAAGAATCAGATAAAAAATCTTCTAAATATTGTTGCAAATGGATAATCATTACTCTTGCTTTATATTACTGCCTTAGGGATATTTCTGTTTACCATGGGATCATTAGTAAACCAATAATCTTTAGTCATGCAGACTATCTTTCTCCATCAACCTCTGGGTCTGATTATCTTCAGGTATGCTTCAAAATTGCACAAATTGGATTTTACCCATGTAGCATCTTATCTTGCCTGCTTTTATAATTCATTTCTATAAATCAAATCAGAGCATTATAAAGTTGGCCACAGACCATTACATGACTGTGTTTACTTGCATTTTCCACAAAGGTAACTAGACTTTTCTAAGCAATCATTTTGAACAGGTGCAGTCTTTTTTGGGGAAGCATTCCGATAATCCTATTACCTTATGTTTGAAAAAACCCCAAGGGTTCAAACCTAATCATCCCAGCTTTGTGAGCAATTTTAGACTTTCCATCAAGTTCACAGGATACAAGAGTAAAACTCACTCTGTGCTTACCAATAAAAAGTGAAAGATTCTTTTAATCATCCTTCTTTTAAATGAATTGACTTTTCTAATGACTATCAATTAAGTGCATCTCGACAGGATGCAAATAGATAAGTAGACGCCAAGGGACATGAAGAAAAATAACAGCATGAATGTGTGCAAGAGGACAAGCTAATTAATGTGGTATCTTAAATAATGTTAGCTACAGGTTTTTACATGAATTGAACAGCTCGAAAATACAAGGGCTGGAAGTCAGAGACGACAGTAGTCAGTTAGACAAACCATTACTGATGAGCAGTACAAAATACTGCCTAGAAATCTGATCCCTTAAAGAAGCCAGAAGAGGAACTAGCTTTGGCTGGGCACAGACGCTTTGACTGTTAAAATAAAAATAAAAACATGATATGATAAAAGCACTCTGAGGCTATTCTGCTGGGATACGATGCAGGCCACATTTTATTTCTGTGTGAAGGGGAATATGACTGTGAGGTGTGGGGGACAATGACAGCAGCCCACAGCATTTAAGAAAAATTCATGTTTCTAGAGGAATTTCCTATCATTCATGTTGAAATGGAGGATTCTCAACTCCTTCTCATGTTAACACAGCTGTACAAAGCTTCTTTGGGGTGTTAGGAATCAAGATCCAAGCTCTGAAAGAATCAATTCTACAGGCTGCCAACCTTGAACCTGGTTTCCTATTGATTCTCCAGAGTATGTACATACATCTCTACTGCACAGGAGAACCACAAACTCAGCAAAAGCTCACTGCATCAAATTAATGGAGAGAAAGAGCATACTACATACAGAATATGTGAAAAGACATTTGGGCCTTACTACTTTTAAGTAAGCACCTTCAACTAAGTTGAGGAAATGTATAAGTGAGGAGTAACAAGATATACTTTAAGGGCCAGATATGAGTGATCTGTTCACCCATCAATTGTTAATGTGTAAATAGAAGCGTCTCAAGTTCCCTCTTGAATTCAATAGGGAAACCTACTGAATTTAGCAGATGTGTAGAATTAGTGGACTCTAACTGTAATCAGTTTCTTGGGTACTTCCCCCACTTTCCCACTGGATATACACATACTGCACTCATTCAAACAAAATATTACTCTTGAGAGATTATTAGAGTTAAGACTACTGAACTAAGTATGTGGCATTCATTACTGCAATAAATCCTCATAAGAGCTATATGAAGTCAGGTCAGCAAGGTCACACAAATCGCCCAAGGTCACAGAGCTAGGAAATGACAGAAAACTTTCCCATCCTCTACTGTATACAATCTAACAGGCAAAGAAGTATTCTTTAATACTTCATATTGACAGCTCTTTCTTTAAGAACCTCAAAGGTAAATTTGAACTCATTCCTGCCAGGTAACCATAGTCAACCTTACTGGAATCTGAATTAGTGGTTTTCTAAATGGGGAATAACATTAAAAAGGCCATCAGCAAAGCATTGAGGGACTACTCTGTCCTACACAGTTGATATCTATCACCACTTAGAATTAATCCCCACAACTGTCCTAGCATATATATTATCCAAAGCACCAAGGGATGAAGCCACTTGCCCAAGGTCCCAGAGCTAGCGAGCATTCTGACAGAAGGCTGTTTCCTTCCCTGTCTCCACACTCCCCTCTAAAGAACCGAAACTGAGCAGGGGAACGAGCCGACACACTGCCGTCAGCCACATGGCCAGAGGTAAGGAAGAAGTCGTTAGAGGAGAAGCGTTGCTCACCTGACTCCAGGCGCCAGCCTTCCACTTGGGGCATCTTCCTCCTCGGCACTTTCTGTGCCCATTTGGCTTAGCAAGGTGTTTACAGTAATCACTTTCTAAATGGCTTCCATCTTTTGCCATGCAGTAAACATTTCGTTGTTTATGCCCTCGACCACAAGAGACAGAACACTGAAATATAAAGCAATGGCAAAGTTGTTTTTTTTTTTAATCACAAGAAATTTGATAAAAACCTAGGTCGTGAGATGTTAAGATCATGCCTAACAAGAGTCACCATTCCCTCCCCCTCTGCAGTGCCATTTTGGATAATATCTCAAGGCTCAACATGGAAGGAACGTGGCAGTGGAGAAAAAAATGTGGACAGCGGGAATCCTGTCTAGTATTTTGGGTCACTCAAGAGTGAGGGTAAATCCTGGTAATATAGGCCAAAAATAAGCTCATGAACCTGAAATTATCATGAAATTATGATTTAAAGAAGTCCTACTATGAATTAGTAAGGATTTATTTTGGACATCTCACTTCATGCAGTCTCTGATCAAGATATTTCTTCAACAAAATACCTCGTGATCCACTCTTTTGGATAAAGGTGCATTTCCAAAATACAGCTGTGTTCAATTTCCTAATGAATTGATTTAAGGAAACTCTTCTACCATTTTTCAGAGGATAAGCTCTCATTTTCCCAGTCCATTGGAAAGAAGGTGAAAAAGGCATGTTAGAAACTGAAAGGTAAGTTAGCAGGTGGGTCTGTGCCAAGTTTGGGAGGGAGGCATTACCTTTCAACTTTGATCTGCAGGTTCACTGAACTGTTTTAATGTGACCTTGTCTGACCACATCTAAGAAACTTGACTTTGATTTCAGAGTAGGTTTCTCAGAAAGGTTTAGGAATCAAAGTGCTCATGGAGTCGGGACAAAAATGTGACATGACAGCTTCTTGTAGAACAGGCAAGAGGCTGGCCCCAATGAGTACACTGAGATATTCAACATCCATTGCCTCATTAGCGATTACAGAAGTCATTACCACTTGGATCATAAGCTTGCTGGCTCCAGTTTTCAAGACACATTATTTCCCAATACAATGTCCTTACATTTCAGAGGGAAATGAGTTTAAGAATGAAGAGCAAAATGTGAAAATGCAACAAAAATAGATTTCAAGTGTCATTTCTTTCTATTCAATGTTTCTAGTTTCTCCTGCTAACTCTGTGATTTCATTAACTTAAATGGCCAAAGTGCCCTTTCATGTCTAATAGATAAATAGCACCATGTAAAATATGTAGCCAAATATAAATTGAACCACCATTACCAAGCAAGCTTTAAGTGATCCCATTCATATATGTGCCAGACATGTTTTTTTCTAGTAAATATAGACTATTACAAAAATTCCAAAGTAGCTGCTGGAGAAATATAAAATATGTATATTAATATATTTGGGTCTAACTTTTTACTTTAGGAGATGGAAAGGTTTTTTTTTCTTTTGAGCTCTTATTTTGTGAGTATTATTATTTTGAGTAGTCTTTCTGTAAGGAGTATACAGTGAGGAAGGAAGGAGTCCAATTTAAATATCTACATCAAAACAAAAACATCCATCTTTCAACCTTTAGTGTTTTAATGTATATGAAGACCCTGGGTTACAATTCTAGAAGACTTTTATAATGAATCTCCAAGAAGTTTCCCTATAAACCAATGGTCTAATGACTTACGGCACAGATAATCCCTATTATTAAAATTTAAAAAATGTTACTTCCACCAAAATTACAGGCACGGTTTAAGAGTTTGAGGTGCATTCATTTGTTTAGTCAGCAGACATTTATTAAGCACCTACTAAGTTTTAAGGATTATGCAAAGTGTTGAGAATACAGTGATAAATAAAAGTGATATAATCCCTGCCTTTGTGGAGTTTAGAGACCAGTGAGGGAGACCAGCATTAATCAAGTGACAACAAAAACAAATACATACTTGCTAACTGACATGAGTATTCTGAAGAAAAGGGGCTGAAGTGACTGCAAGAGGAGTCCCTGAGGCATTCCTGAGAGCCAGATCATGTCGAACTAATAGGTCATAACAATATATTTTATTCTCCACAAGACGGAAAATCACTGAGGGGTTTTAAGTTAGGGTAAGACACAGTCTAATTTTCGCTTCAAAATTCTATTTTTACTACCGAGTAGACAATGGGTAGAAATTCAGCATTAGTGAAAACAAGAAAACTTCTTAGGAAGCTAATGCCGTTGTCCAAGCAAGAGGTGATGGTGGCATTGATGAGGGTGCAAAGTTGGGGGGTGAAGGAGGCTGGTGAATTTAAAACCGTTTTTGAACTACAAATGACAGTTCCCCGATGGATCAACTGTGGGGTGGATGGGTGAGGGCAGGGTCAGGAAGGCCTCCAGGTTTTCTGCTTTGGGCAATTGGATTAGAGTGATGATATGGACAGAGATGGGAAAAACAGCACAGGGGGTCAAGAATATATTATTTTCTAGGAGATGAGCTGAGTTTAGAGGCCATGGGTTCATGGGTGGTAACGTGTTTGATCAGGGTGAAGAAACAGACATAACTGTCTTACTAATCAAATGAACAAGCATCAGTGGAAAGCAAGTTTGATCCTGAAGGGTCATCAATCAGTATACAAACAGCTCAGACCAGCCGTCCCTTAATACAGAGGGGAGGAAGAGAGTTGCTGGAAATGGAGATTTAGTAATCTATTGGTCTAAGTTCCATGAGGTCAGGGGTTACAGAAGCTTTGTTTATCACTATGGGCTTATACTTCCAACACTTAGCAGAATTCTTAGAATTTAGCAGGTGCTCAGTAAGTGTTGAATGAACAAATAAAACAAATCCATTTAGTGGTCACTGGAAGAGGTAACTTAACATTAGGGAGCAATCTACAGAGGCAAAATTAGCAAAAACACAGCTTTCTCCCATTCATTAGGTGCAAGGCACTACTCAAAGACTTTATATACATTATCTCATTTAATCCTTCCAATAAACCACAGAGATAGGTACTATTATTGAAGACAAATGGTGTTTTCAAAATGGCATAACCAAAATGCTTTATGTGTATACATCTCTTCCTATATGACTCCAATATAAGTGGCTAGATGTCTTTTCGGAACATAACAGCACAATGAAAATCAACAGCATCACTGATAATAATTCATCTGAGAGGTGCCACTGGTGCAACCAACATCTACTGCCCAAGAAATAAAGATGGAGGAGGTTGATTTGAAATATAACACCTTAAAAATCTTTTAAATACCTGGATTACCTGCATCCCACCCATTTCTAAGAGTGGTTTTCTTACTTGGGGACATGAATGAAACTGATTTGGAGAAAAGGATGCAACACTTCAGTATGACTTACCATACGTATTATTTGCCTAAAATTCAGATCTAAAAGTGATAAAGAAATTCTTAAAGTATCTAATCTGATAGCAAACACCTTTCATTTCATGTTTTCTAAATTACCAGTGACAAAAAGCAGCTGCTTGTGGGAATTTTCCTAGCTAGCAGGCTTATTAATAGGTCTATTACGATTTCATAAAGAAGTTATCATCTTGATAACCAAATAAACACACGTTTTAGCTCTTCTATTATGAGGGAAATTTCTGATTATTTCCAGTCCTTTCCCAGGCACTGATGTTTGTGTCAACACACGTTGCAGAAATAATAGTTAAACTTAGTGTTTCACCTAGTACATATTATTTTTTGGCTACATATATGAAGTGTCCTGCTCTGGGGAATATTTAATTCCTTATATTTGCAGCCAAATAGCTTTCCAGTTTGCCAAGTGGACCCTGACTTTTTTCCTCTGGAGAAACAACCCAACATATTTAAGAGAATGATTTTTCCTCCAACTTTGAGCAACACTCTCAAAGTAATCTCTGCTTGTTACATAGAAACACCAAGGTCAGTATCTCTAATGCCTTGGCTTTTGTTTCTGCGAGGTCATTCAAAGGGAATGTTTAACGTGGAGCTTTGTTGAGAGGCTGTATTAATTTTTTAGATGAAGGTCTAAGAGTTTGAAATCTGTGCATTTCAACACACATGGTGGAAATGGAACTGGCTCTCTCTCTAGAAGCTCTGGATGTGGTGTGGATTTGTATCTCACTCTTCCTGGTGTGCTGTTCCTGGCGTTTAGGGATGCCCTGCATTGGTCCCTTCACTTATATTGAGGAGCTGGGTCTCTCAATTACCCAGCAGCCAGCAAACAACCTGGTGTGCCTGCCTGGATGACAAGGGCTGAAGATCCAGACAGAATGAAATCCCTAGCATTGCTAAGGCTGGTGAGAACCTGGATATCTGAAGGGAGACGCGGAACCACACGGAACTGGTAAGGACACCATAAGGAGCCAAGAAGGAACAAGAAGGGGAGGGTGGAGGTCACAGATGCACACAATATCTGGCCAGGAGGAAGCTTCTTGATGAGGCTGGATGATGCTGGGGGCTCAGAGGAGGTCATGCAGTGAGTGGGGTGTGGACCAGAACTACTCGAGGTGTAGCTGATGCTTGATACATAAGGGTTAATGGACGGTCCAGGAGGACAGCTCCAACAGAGTGTCTGGACACAGTGGAGTATGTCTGAGTGACTCTTATCTCCAAGTGATCTGTATATATAAAATTCTGTTTATGTAAAATATATCTAGGAGGATATTGATCAAGGAGTCCATATTTCCAAACAGAGGACTGACAAGCAGGTTAGAAATAAGAACTGAAAAGCCAAGAGAAAGGTCATATGCTAGAATCTACTAAGCTAAGCCAAGACACTAATGATCTAAGCATTTTTGACAGTCAGAGAGAAAACCATCATTCTGAGACTGGTGGGCAGAGTTCAGTTATGAGACAGGAGACTTTACTAATTATTATTCAAGGCCTTTCCCTAGTGATTCTATAAAATATGAAAAAATCATCTAAATCATTTAATCTAAAAAATGAAATATGTCCTTTCATAACAATAAGCTCTTATTTATTCTACTCTCATTCTGATTTTGTTTAAAAAACATAGTCAGATCTCATCTGGAAAATATGATATCAGAAAGCAGGCAATGCATATGCCTACAGTTCAGAACTGCCTTTGCCAATTACGGTGATAAATGAAGTGAATATTGCATGAACATCTTACTATCATGAAAAGCAAATGATTCCAACCTGTACCCATTGTTTACCAGAAAAAAATAAAAA